CTTTCACAGACGTGTGTTGTCACACGCGGACTCGATGAGGAGCTGGCGCGCCTCACGAAGGCCTCAGAGCCCGGGCGTGGACTTTCTCTGGTGGACCGCCAGCCTCAGGCCTGGGCCGGCTCAGGTTCCACTGAGGTTCGGCCAGCGAAGGAAGCCCAAGCTCGCCCCACCGCCCCTGCGCGACTCGCCCCCCTGCCCACGCCCACGGCCGCCGCGTCCTCACCGTGCCACACCGGCCCGCGCCGCCGCCAGCCAGGCCTCCTCCACGGCCTGCGCCCGCGCCGCCCGATCCCGACAGCTAGCTGCTTCCCCGCCCCCGCCGCGCGTCCGCCGCAGCCCCGCCCCCCCGCGGACGCACCGCCGATTGGCCTGCGGGCGGGTCCTCCGGACCGGCGCCTGCGAGCGCAGCACTTCGTTCTGATTGGTGACCACGCGGGGGAGGGCGGGGCGAGAGAGAACCATAATGTCAAAAGCAAAGCCGGGGAGCTCCTCCGCGGGTGGAACCATGCTTCCGTACAGTGGGCCGGTCTTCGGCCCTGGGAGGGGTTTGAGGACCCGAGAACTCTGCGCTGGGTGGGACTTAGGAAGCGGGGAGTTCTTATTCTTACTCTTCGCTTTGGCATGCCGGGAAGATTCGGTCTTGGACCCGACTTCGGAACAACTTGAGAACTCAGCCCTGGATTGCACTCTGGTGGGTCCTACATAAGCCTTGGGCGGGACTTTGGCACATGGGCGGGTCTCAGCCTACAGCCTGGCTTTGGCAAGCAAGGTGATCCGATTCTGGGTACAGCCTGCTCCCAGCTCGCGGAACTGTCCTGGCACTCACAGCCTTGGTCATGCCCCTGACTGCCAGCCTCCTTCTTGCCTCCCATCCATCGTGCCCCACCTGGGAAGAGTGGAATTGTGGTCTGTGGGCACCAGGTATTACTGAAGGGTCGCTTTTGAGTACTGTACCAGAGGCAGGCTACATCAAGGAAGACCCCTGGAAGCCTTTGTTGTTCCCTTCTGGTTTTGAGACTCTTTCTGGGAATCAAAATGGTGAGACCTGATTCTGGGCCCTCCACTCCTGTGATTTTCAGCATCCTCGTTTCCTTCTTCCATTGGTTAACTGGCCCTGCAGAGAGCCAGCCCTCTCAACCACGTCCAAGCTAAATAAATCCAGGAACGATTTGGCGCACAGCCCCAAGCGATTCATACAAAGAACTGGCTTTTGGAGAGAAGTCCTTAAGACAAGATGGGAGGGCCTCAGCTTCCCCAAGGCAAACTAGGCTCAGCAATGTGGAGAGGGTTCCCAACTTTCTCTACCACCCTAGGCTTTTCCTCTAACCAGCCAGTGCCACTGAGTGTGCTACCAATCATAAGAAAAGTGGCTGGATAGGGCAGGAATGAGGTTAGACCTGAGCAACCTAATGACCTAGAGAGCAGGAGTCTCACTACCCTGGGGTCAGCGTGCTGTTCAGAAAGCAAGAGGAAGAGGGGCCCAGATGATACTGGGGCGGTCAATCCAGTGGTCTGGCTACCCAAATAAGCATGAGGCCAAGTCGAGGAGGTTCATTCAGATTAGGATAAAGTTTAGGTTTGTGTGGCCTTGTGTCTCCTTCCACCTTGTGAGTCTCAGGATCAAACTCAGGTTTGATCAGGTTGGGTGGTCAGTACTCAGCCACTGAGCCATCTCACCAGTCCAAATTCTGGTTTTTAAAGTTGCTTTTCTGGGCTGGAGAGATGGTTTAGCAGTTAAGAACACTGGCTGTTCTTCCAAAACACCCAAATTCTATTTCTGGCACCCACATGGCTGCTCACAACTATCTGTCACTCCAGTTCTGGGGAATCTGACATCCTCTTCTAGCCACCCTGGGCACTAAGCATGCACATTGTACAGACACATGCACACAAGCAAAACACTCATACACATAAAACAAAAATGTAAAACACTTAAAAATCTGAGCATGGTGGCTTACACCTTTAATCTCAGCACTCTGGAGGTAGAGGCAGGTGGATTTCTATGAGTTGCAGACCAGCCTGCTCTACAGAGGGAGTTCCAGGCTAGCCAGGCTACAAAGGGAGACTGTCTCAATCACTCCCAAGCAATAAATACAGTTTTACCTCTTTATATGGAGAATTAGAAATATATTTGGATCACTTTTACTTCCCACTATGTTTAACAGTTGTTGCTTCATTTTCTAATTAGTAAATTTACCTATGAAGTTTTAGTGTCCATTTTAACCAAATAATCTGTAGATAATTTGACAGCCTGATAGTTCTGTCCCAGCTGTACCATTTCTTCTGGAGTATCTGAGTTATCTCTGATGCAGTACTCATGCTATTAATACAAGTAACTTCCTGTTCTGATTCACAGTTGTCATTGGGGCCCTGAATCTTCCCAGTGGACTTCACACCTTACTCAAATAAAATGAGGACTGCTTATTTAATATCTAAATAATAGTGCTTTATTGAAAAAGGGTTAGTTTAAATGGCTACAAAGTTGAAGTGTACAATGTGTTTTCAAAATACATTTCTACAGGCACAAGTTACTTCTTTGTGAGAGAGCATTTATTAGCAAAAGTGTATGTTTAGACTTGGGTGGAAAAACTGAAGGGGGATTTAGAATTGCGGCTGCAAGACCTTCCAGCACACATTGCCATCCTTCAATGTCAGCTGGCCCTAAGTGGCACCCTTAGCTCACCAGGGCTCACACTGAATACCTGGAAATGCTTTTCTATTTAAAAGCCATCTTTCTCCAATCAAATTAATGTTAAAGTAACCCAAACAAAGGATTGCATGGGTGCACTCTGAAGCCATCAACACTTGTCTGGTAGGAGCTTCAGACAATGAACCCCGAAACCATTCACAGTGAGGCAACAGTGAAGGGGCAAAACGAGCGGACGTATCATTTTCTGTAATTTGTAATAACAATTTTAAAGTCTCCTTTTATTAGTACTATTTTTGGCCTGAATTAAATATAAACCCCTGCCTTATCATCAAACACTTTCTTCTGCAGCAAGATGAAAGCGCAGAACTAGCACCTGCTTCACTCCCTCCACACCACCATCTCCTTCACTTGCCCCTTTCTGTGGCCATTACCTGACATTAGAAGACATGGCAAGAGAGGGCAGGCCAGAGTGCCAGAGATAAACCAGGCACGGCTCTGCTCACCTGCTTGCGGCACAGAATGCCTTTCATTCATGCCATGAAGACATTTATACGACACAAACTGAGGAAAATGGCAATGGCTGAAAACAGATGAGACAGTCTGTACATAAAAAACTGCTATGTTCTTCTCAATAGAAAAATCACTGAAAAAGGGAAGTGTTAGAGAAAAACCTGGCAGGCATTTGGGCTTCAAGCGGCATTTTGTGCAAGAGCACCACCCAATCACAAGCCTGGGTTCAGATGCATGCCAGCCAAGGACTATTATTCCCACTGCCATGGTAGATCTTTTGCACCTAGTTATACAAAGTACATTAAAGTGCAGTATAAAATACAAACATTTTGGTTTTTTAAAAAAGTATTGCCTTTTTAGTTGAGTAAAAAGTTGATTGACTCTTACTGTGTAGAGAGTCTTGTTACAATATGAAGCTGGAGCTCAGAGCTGCTTTGGTTTTCTCCACAGCACAGCATAATCAGTGTCCACAGTCTAAAAAGTCCTTGTAGTGAGTTCTCTACAGAGGTTTGAAAGGATCTGGCACTAGAAACCAGAGCTCTTAAAATCTGACCCTGAAGTCCTGCTTTTTAAAAGGCATTTAAGCATAAACATGTATCTCATTAGGTACTCTCCTCTATTCTGCCTGGTTAACAGATAAACGTGCAGATGAATTAACCGTATTAACTACAGCAGCAAAAGTGGTTTTAGGTGTTCTGCACAAATATAAAGTTAACAGTGTGACTTCGTTCTAATAAGCAAATATTCTGCCACCAAGTATGCACAACCACTTCTGTCTGTCACAGGTACATCATGTCCACCACACAGGAACATTCTGAACAAATAAAAATGTCTCGATATAAATCAAGAGTACTTGTCAGTGATTAGTCAGGCCAGCTAAATCAAAGAAATTCACTATTATTAACAGTATACGTGTTGACTAATTCTTAGAAATAAATTCTAACATTAGTGGTTAAGGAAGAAGAAAACAGGGTTTACCTCACAAAATATAAAATGTAACAGCAATGAGATATACATGTTAAAAGTACTTCATACCAGAGGGTAAAAAAAAGAGAAAAGAACCAAATATCAAAACCATCCAAAGTTAAAACAAAAAAACTGAAATCCTCAGACACAGGAACTTAAATTCTGATGGGCACACTTCCAAGGGTGTTAAGAAACTTGATGCTGCAGCACTTATCAGGAATACTTTTCTTTTTATCGAAGAGTGTTTTCTGTAAAGTAAAAACAAAATAATTTAAATGGAAGTGATGCATTTATTGCTTTGATTATTGACAATACTCCCTCTGCTTATAGAAGGGAATAAACTGAGCAAAATGTTTTGTATCTATGACCAGTTAACTAAATCAAGATTTATGAAGCTCTCCTATACCATCAGGCTCCGTGAAACTCAAGTGTAGAGAATTACACTAAAGCACAAATCTAAGTGATATGCCAATTTCCAATGGTCACATAATGGTTGCCTCAAAGGCCTGGAGGTCAGTAGTTTGCAGCTAGGCGACCCTCATTTAACTGGCATTGATTCTTCTTCCTAACACCTATACTTTTCATCTGCAAAAGCTTTTAATAAATTAAGGAAGTTTCTTTGAAGATGTTTACAATATTAATGAGTTTCCAACACTGTCTAATGAAAGTTTAACATAAATTATATTTGTAACATTAGAAGATAGGAATATTTTCATTAGACAGTAGGTGGCAGCAGAGAATGGTTTCTGCTTTTCAATAAAGGCTAGCTATACAGCTAACTCAAAAAATGCACCGCATGGGTAAAGTTTAAGACGAGGAGCCCATCATATTCAAGGTTGAGCTGATAATGAGATCCCCTACCTCCCCAACTTACTAATATGAAAACACCATTTCACACATGGTGCCCGAGTGTACCGCTGTCACTGTCACCACCCTGCATCTGCATCTGCATCTGCGCTTGCATCCTTGCGATCATCTCCTGCATGCGGCGAAGCTAGGAATGGGACATAGCAGATACAGTGTTGGTGTTGTCATATTTAGCTTTTACTGTTTTTCTCAAATACAATAATATGTTCAAATAAAAACTTACAAACCTAAAATCTAAAAGATCAACAATTCATCAAAAATTCAAGTAAGACAAATTACCAATAAACAGAAGCAATAGTTAAACTCCCTATGTAAACTCCTGATCTCCCTGTTTCTACTTCCCAAGTGCCAAATACAGGCAAGATCCATCATGCCTAGTTTATGCCTCACTGAGACTGCACCCAGGGGGTCCTGAATACTAGATAAGCACTCTACCAACAGAGCTACATCCCCAGACTTCTAACCAATTATTGTCACTGAAGTTTGTAGATGTTCAGAAAGGCTCCAAATAAGTATTCTAAAATACTTACTTACAATCTTTCAGGTAGCTTTGTAGTTATGACAAGTATCCACACTGAATTGATTTGGCTAAGAAGTGATTTCTTTTTGTTGACACCAGAATATGGGTATTCTACTTACCTCAGCCTCCTTTTCAAGCAAGATCTGGTCTTTATTCATGTCCTCATTCTCCACTTTCCTAAGGGAACAACAACAGAAAAATTACAATTGGAATACTGCAATGTACTTCTGAATAGAAACAAAACTTTAGAATTCTGAAGACCACTATTTTATAATTATATGCTTACAGCTTTTTAAATTAAAGCCATGATACAGAAGAGAACACAAGGAAGAAAAATGACAAAACGTGAAACTGGGACTTCAGAAGATGACCTGACTTTTGTTCTACAGTCATAAATAGTCAGTCTAACCCAGGGAAGGGTCTTGGTTTTTAGGTAAGTTCCCCTTTATGACTATATGGTGAATAAAACAGTCCCTGGAAGGAGCCAGAGGAGCTGAATGAGCAGAGCCTGTAGAATAGAACTGAGGAAAGTAATCTCTAAGCACACTGGCACCACCACCAAGGTGTGCTAGTAGGAATACTTTTATTTTCTTTTTTAAAGATTTATTTATTTATTTATTATGTATACAGAAGAGGGAGCCAGATCTCATTACAGATGGTTGTGAGCTATATGTGGGTGCTGGGAATTGAACTCAGGACTTCTGGAAGAGCAGTCGGTGCTCTTAACCTCTGAGCCATCTCTCCAGTCCACTAGTAGGGATTCATGTACTCCGGCTTCTAAAACCTTTCCTTATGTGTGGTTTCCAAATTAACATCATAATACTTCAAAAAGCCTTTTTATTCTTAATTCTGTGTATGTGTGTCTATATACGTATACATGCACATGAGTGCTGGTTGGAGTTCAAGTTATAGGCAGTTGTAAGCTTCCTAGGAACTAAATTCCAGTCCTTTGGAAGGCCAGTGTGCATTCTTAACTGCTGAGTCATCTCTCTATCCCCTGCCAAAAGACATTGAGTAACTATATCACTTATTCATCCAGCTCTATTTTAAGTGGAGACATGGTTTAATTCGATGCAGATTGGGTCACAAAATATACATCTTATATAGAAATACATTAGGATGGTAAAAAAGAAAAAGTGAATGAATGTGTCCACATGGAGTCTGTAGAAAACAGAGCTGCTACTCCAGGGACACCCATGGCGAGCTTACCCTCTATAGCTTTCAATGGCAAGCAAGCCTGTCCTTATTTATAGACACAGTAATGCTAAAGAAGTACCAATACCAGCCTCTGGCTTTTCCATTTCTGGTGTTTAAATAAATGGTTTTATTATTATTATTCCACATCTCTGCATTTTGCCTGCCATGTATACCTATGCACCAAAGCATGCCTGGTGCCCAAACATGCCAGAAGGCATGGAATCCCCTGGATCTGGAGTTACAGACAGCTGTGAGCTGTAATGTGGGTGCTGGGAATTGAACCCAGATCCCCTGCAAGATGAGCAAGTATTCTTAAGCACTGAGCCATCTCTCCAGCCTCCAAGACTGCTCTTGATGTGCACATTATGAATGTCTCTTCCCCACCCCCACTTGACCGAATTAGCAATATACTTTTAACAATTTTTCAATAGGAAGCATATGCTGTGTGTAATCAAGAAGTCTGAGGTAGGCACACAAAAGACAAGGGAAAGTGACTCAGGGAACATGATATGGGGAAGACTGTGACAACCTGCCGCCTCTCTTCAGCCTCTCAGAGCGGAAGTTTTCATAGTGAAGGTCCTGGGTCACTTCCTGTAGGTCCTGCATGTGGGTGCTGAAAAAGAGAAGGAATACAGCAGGGATTTATGCCTATGGCAGTTTCATGGGGAACAACTATCAAGAACACAGAAAAAACTGCCAGTACTGAGAGCCCAAGTAATTGTTTAGTAAACTGTACACAGGTTGCTGGAATCTCAGGACAAGCTATGTAACTGGAAATGCCTAGGTGAAGTAAACTCCTTTGCAACCACAACAAGCTACAACAAAGTTTTGGGTAGAACACTTTCTCCTGACCACTGCCACAGGTACCACTAGACACAGTACAAAGCCATTACCACTGGAGGGATGTGGATACGAAAAAGACTTCAGGAGACTTTTAGGTAAATGATACCTGAAATAAAACACATTTTTCTAAAAGATCTTATGAAAAATAAACTATTCAAATAGGTGTCTGTGTAGCTTTTTGTAAATACTATACATTTAAAAGTATGTACAGAACATTATAACACCTTCCTATTTACTGAGAATCTAGGGAAATAATAAGAATGTGGATAAAAGGGTAGTTGAATCTTTTTCTTTTTTTCTTATTTTTTCCCAGAGCTGAGGTCCAAACCCAGGGCCTAAGTGCTCTACCACTGAGCAAAACCCTCAACCCCATGGATCTTCTTCATTCTCAGAAATACACAACTGGCATGTAACAGAGAACCACACCTCTTCTACAACACTAACACTCCCTGAATGACAGGGGCTAGGACAGCCACGGGCTCAGCACTGCAGACCAAGTGTGTCCCAACTACTCTCAAAACCATTATGCTACATTTGTAGTAACTTAGACAGCAACATCTTAGGGGTTCTCATTCAGTAGCAGTGTTAGTAAGTGGCAATTTTAACTCATCAAAATTTTAGTTTATTCAGATTATGTCTCTTTGAACTTTTTTCATTAAAGAGGTATATTTTATGGAGAACTACAAGAGGAAAGCTTAAAGGTTCTATAAAGAAGTCACAGAGAAGGAAATTGTTTGGTACATACATTATATGGGTGTTAAATACACTATACTCCAAAATATATATAACTGTATGCTAATAAAAATAAAATCAGGTATCTGTTCTGTCTCACCATGTGATAACCTCTGATTCATTTGAACATAGCAAGGAAACCCTCACCAGATGCCAATATTCTAGCTTCCAGAAAGAGACAAATAAGCTTCCATATTTATAAATTACAACAATAGGAAACAGGCCCAGACCATCTTATGTTAATTTGACACCTGTAACATTTTCAGAATTTCCTAGGCTAATGTTTAAGAGTGATGCTGGTTTACAGCCTGTAGCATTAAGAGGCACTGGGGGCTCCCACTCTGCTTGCTGGGCGGTAGCCATGACCCCCAGGTCCTGATTTGCACAAGTAACAAACCTGCTATTGGTGAAACAATGCTAACACGCAGGTGTTCATATGCTAGCCTAACTTCGACATTATCAGCTCAGACTGGTTTTTTCTCTTTAATAAAAAACATTTTTATTTATGTGTGTACATGTGTCTTCAGGTGCTTACACTGGCCTGAAGAGGTCACCTGGAGCTGTTGTTGAGAACCTGATGTGGGCACAACAGCAGCAAGCACTTTTAACTGCTGAGCCATCTTTCCAACCCAGCTTTTTTTTTCCCCTCTTAAAATCTAGGGTTCCACAAACTATATCCTCTTTTGTTTTTCATAGTATTGTCCAAAGTCATTACCCTTAATTATAAAACTATTCAGAATCAACGGTGAGGGGAGTACATACTTAAAAAAGAAGAGAGGTGTATTGTCTTTAATCCCTTCTTCTAAGTTTAAACTTGTTTATGGGGAGGCACTTGTGTCATGGCCTACATGAGAGTCAGGTGACAACTTGCAGGAGTCAGTTATCACCTTCTACCATATGGGTCCTACAGATGAAATTCAAGTTGTCAAGTGTGGTGGTATGCATGTTTATTGGCTGAGCCAACTCACTGATCTCTATTTTCATTATCGTTGTTTGTGTGTGTGTGTCTGTGTGCTGGCAAAGGTCAAACGTCTACACTGGGTGTCTTCTTCAATCAATCTCCATACTTTTTTCTGTTTAAAAAAAAAAAAGGAAAATGGGGGAGGGTTCAAAATAGGGAGGGAAAAGGGAGAGAAATACAGAGGAAAGAATGAGAATAAAAAGAAAAAAGTTCGTGTGCACACATACACAAGTGTCCACAAAGGCCAGAAGAGGGAGCTGAACTCCCTGAAGATAGAGTTACAGGCAAACCCAGGTCCCCTGCAAGGACAGCAAGTATTTTCTGTTGTAGGACATTTGATCACACTGCGTGAAGATGTGCTGCTGTTTTACCTCACCTGCCTAAGGCACCTTCTGAGTAGTTTAATAAAGAGCTGAATGGCCAATAGCTAGGCAGGAGAGGATAGGCAGGACTTCCAGGCAAAGATAGGAACTCTGGGAAGAATCTGATGCATGGGGGAGTGGGGAGGGATTCACCAGCCAGACACAGAGGAAGTGGAACGTACTGTACTGAGGAGAAGTAACAAGCCACGTGGAAGAATGTAGATTAATATAAACAGGTTAATAGAAGCTTGGATTGTTTTTTTTTTGAGACAGGATTTGTTTGTGTAGCCTTGGCTGTCCTGGAACTGTAGATCCACCTGCCTCTGCCTCCCAAGTGCTAGGATTAAAGGCCACATATGGCCAATTTAAGTTTTAAGAGCTAGTTGGGAACAAACTTAAATTCAGGCCAAGCTTTAGTAACTAATAAGAAGTCTCCATGTCATCATTTGGGAGCTGGCAGTCCAAAGAAGGTCCAACTACAATTTTAAATTGCTGAACTATCTCTCTCTCCTGTCTTTTTAAAAAAATACATTTAAATTATATGCGTGTGCTCCCACCATAGCCCATGTGTACAGGCTTTGCAGCACCCCAATGCCACCAACTGACACATTTCACTGACTCTCTCTACCTTTTTTCCCCCTAAGACAGCGTTTCTCTGTGTAGCCTTAGCTGTCTAGAACCCATTCTGTAGACCAGGCTGGCTTCAAACTCACAGAGGTCCATCTGCCTCTGCCTCCCATGTGCTGGATTAAAGGCGTGGGCCACCAGTTTCCCCTTTCTACCTTATTTTTGAGAGAGTATCTAACAATGAACTTCGAATTACTGATCTGGCTAGGCTGGCTGGCCAGTGAACCTCAGCCATCTCCCTGTCTCTACAATACTAGGATCACAGGAATGTGCCACTGTACCCAGACTGTTGTCTGAGTGCTGGGGATCCGAGCTCAGGTCTTTATACATGAGTAGCAAGCATTTTACTGTTCAGTCATCTCCCTAGCTCCCATCAAAGTGTATTTTTTGAACAATATGCTTTCTTTTATTGTGGTGGTTTGAATGAGAAAAGTTCCCTGTCGGCTCAGATGTTTAAATACTTAGTCCTCAATTGGTAGCGCTGTTTGGGTAGGTTTAAGAGTTGTGGCCTTACTGAAGGAAGTCTGTTACTGAGGTAGGCTTTGAGATTTCAAAGCTTCATGTCATTTCCAGTGTGCTCTCGATGCTTCCTGTGGTCAGTTAAAGAAGTAAACTCTCAGCTTTCGACAAACTACCATATTTGCTGCTTCCCTGCCAGGACAGACTCTATCCCTCTGAACATAAAGCTCAGATAGATCTTTTTACATGTTGCCTTTGTTATGGTGTTTTATCACAGCAATAGAAAAGTAACATCTATACTTTACTCTCTTAATGACAGCAATTGGGGTTGGAGATGCAATTCAGTTAGTGAAGAGCTTGTGTAACATGCACAAGGTCCTAGGTTCAATTCCCAGCATCATATAAACTGGGTGTGGTGGCACATGCCTAGAATACCAGCACTTCGGAGGTAGAGGAAGGAGAATCAGAAGTTCAAAGTCATAATTGCATATACATCAAGTCTGAAGCCAACCAACATCTTTATTACTATATGTGAAACTCAACTATAAAGAAGTTTATCAGTTGCAAAAAATGAACGGAAACCTCAAGGCTAATTGGGACCATCTAATGTGAGATCTTCAGGCTAACAAGGAGGAGCACCATGTGTCAGAGCTGGGCCTGGGGCAACTATAAGAGGCTGTTCACCTTCTAGCAGGAGCTAGGACCTCTTGGGCCATGGTTAAGGTTTAATTTTCCTTTAGCATCAATGACTTGAGATGAGAGAGCAAGAAGAACAAGTACTATGAGAAAGAGGTTCAACAGAGATTCAGAGCCCCAGTAAAGGACCCCAGTCCCTAACTTATTAGTCTGATGTTAAGCTCTGCCATAATGAATACACCAAATGTCTTACATGAGCATTGTTCTCAGCTTCAGGAAGTCATTGTGTTCTGGGTTCTCCACCTCCACAACACCCCATGGGTAGAGACGACCTCTGACCTTCTTGCCTTTGGCTTCAATCAGCTGGTTGGAGCCAACCACAGAGAATGGGATACTGGCCTAGAAACAAATACAAGGCAGTAGTAGAATACCAATGTTCACTGTAAACCAACAATGGGCGCAGAAATGGCTCCCTGCTGCTATATTACAAAGCTGCTTTTTTGTTATTGTTGTTTTGAGACATACATAGCTATGGAAGGCCTGGAATTGGCTATATAGACTCGACTGACCTCTAACTCACAGTGATCATCCTGCCTCTGCATTTCCCAGCATCCCTAGTGCTGATACTAAATAGGTATGCAAGTATGCCTGGCTTTAACTATGTTTGACTGAGTGCTAAATACATACACATTTCACTTAGAAATGTCAGTTATTTTCCAAATGGTACAAATCAAGCCTGCAATGACATTTTCAAGCCTTAAGTAAAAATTTCCTAAATATATCCAAACTATATTGCTGTAATATGGCTTTCCCAGTCATTCATTTTAAAATATGTACACAAGAAAACAGGAAAATGGAACTGTTCACTTTATATATCTGGAGCCAATTCTTACCTTGAGGAGTCTAGTCTGTTCCTTAAAATCTTCATCTTCATCTGACTCTGCATCCGGTAAGTGATAGATTTTGATGTTATGCTCCTCGATTTCATCCAAAATCTGGAACAATAACAAAACTAGAATCAATTTTAGCTAACTGTGTATCATTAGCTAACTCATATTAGAAATTCAGAAGAACTGTACAAGAGGCAGAGGCAGGCAGACCTCTGTAAGTTCAAGGCCAGTTTAATCTACTTAACAAGTTCCAGATCAGCCAGGACTACAAAGTAGTATCACCTTAAAACAACAAGAAGCCGGGCGGTGGTAGCGCATGCCTTTAATCCCAGCACTCGGGAGGCAGAGGCAGGTGGATCTCTGTGAGTTCGAGGCCAGCCTGGGCTACCAAGTGAGTTCCAGGAAAGGCGCAAAGCTACACAGAGAAACCCTGTCTCGAAAAACCAAAACACAACAACAACAACAAAAAGAAAATACCAAGAAATACATAAGAATTATTTATATATCAATGATCAAACAACCGACAAGTTATTTTCAAGCACTTTTAAGAACTGCTAAAAAGGTTATGTACGAGCCGGGCGGTGGTGGCGCACGCCTTTAATCCCAGCACTCGGGAGGCAGAGCCAGGCGGATCTCTGTGAGTTCGAGGCCAGCCTGGGCTACCAAGTGAGTTTCAGGAAAGGCGCAAAGCTACTCAGAGAAACCCTGTCTCGAAAAACCAAAAAAAAAAAAAAAGGTTATGTACGTTTGAATTTTGGGAGCTTTTCTGTCTGCAAGAATAACAATAATAACAGTAATAATCACAAGCCATCACCTTCAACATACAAAGCAGTAGGAATACTAATGATAGTCCCTGAACAACAGCTAAACTACTAAACTAAAAACACTCCCACAATCATCTAGCAAAACAAGAGCCCAAGAACAAAGAGAAACTATGAGCACCTAAAGTTCCTGGGCAATGAGCAGGCGCCTCATGCATAATCATCATGCAGGCAAAAAGAAGTCTGGGGAGTAATCCCAGCACTTGTCAGCAAAAGCTGGTGGACCTCTGAATTCAAAGCCACCCTGGTTTACATACTGATTTCCAGGGCTACACAATGAGACTGTCTCAAAATATCAAAATTAATTAGTTAATCTTCAACTGGGCATGGTGGCACATGTCTTTAGTCCCTATCTCAAAAAAACAAAATAAAAATAACAAACCACCACACAGGACACCATAAAGACGGGTCAGTGTTAAACTAGCTGAGATGCATCAGGTGGTAGACAGCTGCCACATGAATTTTCAAAACCCAAATACAGGGAACAATTCTACTTAGACAGACTACTGCAGTAAAACATTTGGGTTAAGAGGACAGACATCCACTTAATGCTAGTGGGAGCTCCTTTTACTCAGCCACTTCCTACTCCATGAGGCTATTTTTATCTAAGAAGAAGAATTTAAACTACACAAATCTGATTCTATGAGGATGAAAAGTAAAAAACAGAACAAACAAAAAAATCTACAAATACTGAGTATGAATTCTGTAGTCCTGCCTCTGGCAACTCAGTTGAAATCTTCCTTCCTCCTGCTTCCTGGACAGCTGGCACAAAGTTATGCAGAGGAGGCATGGGTGGCCAACTCTTACTCACCCTTTTCTTTAGCCGCTCACGCTCCTTCAGAGTGAGTGTGTCAGCTTTCGCAATGACAGGCACAATATTCACCTTATTGTGTATTGCTTTCATAAATGCAACATCTAAAGGCTTCAATCTAAAAACAATGTTCAAAAGTCACACATTTAGGGAAAGCATAGGAATATAGCACAATTTTTTTTCTCAAAATCATCTCACTGCTTATAACACGCGGCAGGTTTCCGTGGTAAACAACTGACTCACCCATGTCCAAAAGGTGAGATGAAGTAGAAGCAACAATGTACCCTGTTATCAATGATGTGCCGCCTGTTCAGTCCACTCTCATCATGTAGGTAGCGTTCAAATTGCTCATCAATGTAGGAGATAATTGTCTTAAAACTGAAACACAAAGTTCAACAGTAATCATGGGGTACAGAGACAGGCAGTCCCTAACTTCAAAGAAAAAACAAGTTTCTCTCCCCTTTCCCATATAGTATGTAAAACAATCCATAACAGAAGACAGTTAATCTTTAGGAAAATGAAGGGGTGTGTGTGTGTGTGTTTTAAACTGTGACAAGTATTAAGTAGGTCTGGTGAAGCAATGGCAGTCAACAATCTAAGTATAACAGGTTATAAGCACCTGACAGGTAGCCTGTGAAACTGGAAGGCTGTCAACCCTTTAAAGACATACAACTGCTTCCCAGGAGGCCAAGAAGCAGGGCGCTATCAGAAAGCATGCAGTCCAAGGCAGGATTATGTAAGCTGCTGAACAGGACAGCACATTCATAAAATGGTGAGAAGGGGGTCATTCTTAATGCAGAAGACGGACAAAGGAGTCCCATCCCCTTCCTTCCTCTTCTGAGTTAGTGCTGCTAAGTTGATGCTTTCTTGTGGCAGGTTTAGGAGAAGGAGGAAGCAGGTACACAAGTAGGATTTTCCACACAATAAAAGCAACAGGTTGGTCTACCTTCTTAATTTCCTTGTTTATAAAAATAATGGCAAAGAGAAGCCATTCACAGGTCCTATGACTCACATTTTACCTCCTACCATATGGAAGGGACATACATACACAAATAGCAATCTGTCCACTGGTTGCAGTTCAATCACAGTGCTTTGTTTATGTTAGCAGTTTATAGAAGATTAACTTTTCAATCTCTGGTCTTATTAGAGTGCTCTTAGAAAAAAAACACAACTAATTCTCAAGCTGGACACAGTGGCTCATACCAATTATCAAAATACTTAGGAAGATAAGGCAGGAGAATTTTGAGTTCATGGCCAGCCTGTATTATATAGTGAGACCCCGTTTCAAAACAGCCAATATTTAACACTTTAAATGATTAGGTCCAGCAGTTCGTTACTAACATTGTCTATAAATGTAAATTCATTAAATTAAGTAAATGAAAACAAATGCATAGTACTTGGCACTTTGGGGGCTCTGTACCCTCTGGATTCATACCAATCCCTGCAGTTGATGGCATCCCCATAGCCAGGTGTGTCCACTACTGTAAGCCGAAGTTTGACACCCCGCTCTTCAATTTCAACAGTTGAAGCCTCAATTTGGACAGTTCTTTCAATTTTCTCTGGAAAAGAAACAAATTTAATAGAAAATGTACCTTAAAATGAAGCATGCTAAAGAAGAGATTATCCATTATTCTTGTTCTTATGACAAATGTCTTGGAAGGTCCGTACTTGCCTTTGAGGAAAGTTCTCAGAAAATAATATTATGACTACTTAAAATGATCCCGAGCCAGCAAGAGAAATGTTGGTGCTAAAAAATGAATGTTTTCTTGGGATCATTAAAACTACCTGTAGCAGGAATTGTTAGAAGGTCTTATTAATAAAATCAAACCTGCAACCAAGTATTGGGGTGAACACTGAAAGATCAGAGAGACAGAACCAGCCACAGTTACCTCACTTTGCCAATTCCTCAGCTGATCCTGTTTCCTCAGACTGGAAGCCTGAGTCCTCATCCAAATGGATCTCAGCTGAACTGCTTCTCGAAAGCCTGAAAGCTTAACCAGGCTCTAGTTCCTCGTCCTCACACCTTAAATACCTTTCTGCTTCCTGCCATCACTTCCTGGGATTAAAGGCTCTTGATACCATGCCTGGCGGTTTCCAGTATGGCTTTGAACTCACAGAGATCCAGACGGATCTCTGCCTCTGGAATGCTAGGATTAAAAGCGTGTGTGCCACCATTTTCTGGCCTCTCTATCTAGTGGCTGTTCTGTTCTCTGACCCCAGATAAGTTTATTAGGGTGCACAATATTTGAGGGAACACAATATCACTACAAATATCAACATTGAGAGGCCAGAGAGATGATTCAACAGTTAAGAATACTTGTTGCCGGGCGGTGGTGGCGCACGCCTTTAATCCCAGCACTCGGGAGGCAGAGCCAGGCGGATCTCTGTGAGTTCGAGGCCAGCCTGGGCTACCAAGTGAGTTCCAGGAAAAGGCGCAAAGCTACACAGAGAAACCCTGCCTCGAAAAACCAAAAAAAAAAAAAAAAAAAAAAAAAGAATACTTGTTGCTCCTGCAGAAAACTAAGGTTTAGTTTCTAGCACCCACATGATGGTTCATAACCACCAAGAACTCCAGTTCCAGGGGATTCAACCTCCAAGGGAACCAGGCAAATGTGTGGTACACATACATACATTCAGGCAAAACACTCATACAAATTAAAAAAATCTTAAAATGAAAAAAAATACCAATATTGGAACTGCTAAGACGGCTCATGGAGTACAAGTGCCTGCTGCCAAGCCTGCTGATGACCGAGTTCAATTCCTGGATCCCATAGGGTAGAAGTCATAGAGTTACCTCCTGACTTCTACCCATGCATGCACATATGAACATGCCCACACATGCATGTGCAATACTGCATACACACACACAGAGAGAAAACATTTTAAAACCCTAGGTTTCTAAGACAAAGAAAATAATCTATGAATTCATTTAAAAACAGAATGTAAAAGTATTGATGAAAAGGTTGTACATTTTTATTGTGGTTGACTTTATAAGCTTAATCCATCTTATCAAAAGTATTTATGAGTCTAGAGATGTGGTAGAGCATTTGCTAGCATGAAGGCTCGATTCCCAGTATTATAAAGCCAACAAGCATATATTTGAGAATGCCAGTGTCCTATGGTGGGATAACCAGAGAATAGCCAAATTAGACACATATTCCTGTAGTAATTTTCTGTTTACATAACATTTTAAATTATATATTTTAGATAATACTGAAGATTGAACCTACAGCTTCATGTATGCTGGGAAGGGCTCTACCACTGAGCTATCTTCTCTTGTATGTAACTTTTTTGTTTTGTTTTGTTTTTGTATTTTTGAGGCAGGGTTTCTCTGTGTAGCCGAGGCTGTCCTAGAACTCTCCCTGTAGACCAGACTGGCCTCAAACTTGCAGAGATCCAGCCTCCGAGTGCTAGGATTAAAGGTGTGTGCCACCACCACTCAGCTTATGTAACTTTTTAAAGACATAAAATTCTTTCAGTTGAGTTTCTCATCCAGTGTACAATATGAACAGAAAACTAGGACATTTAATAGATAACAAACTGAAATAAAGGTTAGCTGCACAGATACAGAACAAAGTCTACAACCAAATTCCAGGACTTCAGATAGAGCATACTTTCTCTACTTAAGTGACAGTTTACAAAACACAAACTGACTAAATAAAACACACATCTAAGGCTTAAGATATTAATTATATACTTTAACAATGTTCAGGTAAAAATTATACTTAACAGTAATATAGAAATATTTACCTGCAGCTCCAGGTATAATTCTTTCTGGATAGAGATCAGTCAGGAATAAGCTGTTTATGAGAGTTGATTTTCCTAAACCAGATTCACCTTAAATAAAAATGAAAACATTGTCATGACCTTCCCCATATGATTGTTAAACCTAGAGTGTTTACCAGCACATTTGCTTCACAAAAAGGAACATCATGGATGCTCAAGGAAGGTCAGTAACCTGCCCAAAGTCAAAGAACAGGAACTTAATTTGAATCCAAGACAATGGCATTGTAGAATTGGTTCGCGGCATGATTACAAACAAATTTTCTCTCGTCACAGGTGTGCAGTGTCTATACACCTGTGTAGTATAGAATGTACTTTGGAATTTCGTTGTTGTTGGTTCTTTAAAATAAGTCTTGACTTCTATTACTTAAAAAGCTCCATATTTATTTAGCTCTCTGACTCTGGGTGCCTTCTGTGTTTGTGCCTTCAATACTCTCACAATGATTTTTCTGCTACTCAGAAAGCACACTTGATCCTGTCACTGACACACTTAGCATATATGTAACCACTCAGTAGGCCCTGCTGACATGCTTCTTTATGTTGGATAATCTCATAAAGACTTTAGATCTTAACAGCACACACCATCAATTTCAGCACTTTCCCAAACTTCTTGGTATAAAGGTAAACAATTTTATTACCAGGGATTCAAGGTGCCCTCATTTTTATAGACTGCATTATAGGAAAGACTACAATAGTATGTCAAACACAGGGCCATGCTGAGTGCCTATAAGCACCATCTACGGAAAAGCAATTTTGTTCTTTTGAAATGGGTTTTACTACTTAACTCAGGTTCTATGAGAGAGCAATGTGCACTCTTAATGGCTGAGCTGTTCTGAGATACTTTGATTGCATTCTGACACTACTGAGACTCCCAATAAAGTCTGCTTTGAATCAGAGGGTGGAGCTGGCTACTAGCTGAACAAAATTAGCCATTGAGATTTTGGAGGATGGAGGACAGATATAGTAGCAAGGTGGGGCTTAGAGAGAGTCTGGGCCTTTTTGGAATAAGAGAGAGGGGGAGAGGGAGGTGGTGAGGGAGAGGGAGGAAGTCACTGGTTGCTTTGTTGCAGCTTTTCTGATCATTCAGGTTCTTACCCTGATATCTGACTCCCAAGTTTTTACTGATAATAATAATTAGATCTGGTGTGCAGATCTCTAGGTTTCCCCTACTCCTTCAACAAATAGTGAAAATCCCCCAAGGCTATGTTACGGGATATAGTACATTGTGTGAAGATGTATTGCTTTGATTGGTGTAATCAAAGCTAAATGGCCAATTGTTAGTTATTTTGCAGTGCTCTTACCCTGCGAGGAAATGTCATGAACGACAGAATCCACTAACAAGAGTTTTATTAAGATAAAAGAGACAGACGAGTGCTCAGGCCTTCGGAGAGACACGTGTGTGGAGAAGAAGAAGGAGGAAGCCGGGAATATATGCCGGCTTATAAAGGCTGGGTGGCACACGCAGATCACATGGTTGCGTTGTGCGCTCTTACACAAACGCAACCATGCAAAGTCATGGGGTCCTGGTCACGCGAGACGCTTTGGCCCGGAAATGGCTATTTTGACCCGGAACTGGCTAGGCGGAAATGTCTAGGTCCGCCAGACATGCACAACCATGGGGGTGTATTGTGGGTCTATCACCAATAGCTAGGCAGGAGAGTATAGGCGGGACTTTTGGGCAGATAGAGAATTCTGGGAAGAAGAAAGGCGGAGTCACCAGCCAGATGGGAGGAAGTAGGATGAGCAGTATGGAGATGATGTAAAGAGCCACATGGAAGAATGTAGATTTAAAAAAATGGGTTAATTTAAGTTATAAGAACTAGTTAGAAACAAGCCTAAGCTAAGGCCAAGCATTCACAATTCATAAGTCTCTGTGTCATTATTTTCGGGCTGGTAGTCCCAATGAGAAAGTACAATTACATTGAGCCATGTCTCTAGCTTTGGGGTAATATTTTTCTATATAAAATAAAGATTTATATTAAATTATGTGTATGTGTGGTTGGGGGTGGGAGTTATGTACAAGTGAGTACATAAGGTGCCTGAGGAGACCAGAGAAGTTGAATCCCCCAGGAGCTGGAGTTAAAGGCAGTTGTGAGCTACCTAACAAGAATGCTGGAAACTGAACTCAGGTCCTCTGCAAAACATAGCAAACTCTCATAATGGCTAAGCCATCCCTCCAACCACCAAAGTAATATTTAATGGGGCATTTTTTTCCTCTTGTGGTAACTATTCTTTATGTTCTATGAAATGTGTTTTGGCTCTGTCATAAAATTGTTTATCTACTTTCTTCTACTTTTTTTTATATTAGGTGTAGGATCTATTTCAAGTTAATTTGCAAGTATAATAGCAAGTACTAGTTGAATTTTTCCATACAATCATCCAGTTACATCCAGTTAATATTTTAAAAAGATTAAGTTCTGCTACTGAACAATCCTGGTACCTTAGTCAAATTTAACTTTGAATTTTAAAAAATTCATTGTATGTTTGTGCATATGTGCTATCATATATATGTGAAGGTCAAAGGACAATTCTTGGGATTTAGTTCTCTCCAGGCACCTTCTGGGATTGCAGAGGTCAAACTCAGGTTGTCAGGCCTGCCCACAAGCACCTCTACCGAGAGAAGGGGTAAGGAGAGAGAAAGAGAAAGGATGTATGCAAACTGGAAGTGGGATAAAGCAAAAACTCTCAAGCCCTACATCAATGATGTAATTCCTCCAGCAAGGCTCCACCTTTCTTCAAGGTTCCACAACCTCCCTAACAGCACCACCAACCAGGAACCAAGTGTTCAAAAACATTAGCCTATGGGAGACAGTTTTCATTCAAACCAGCCCAATTGTGTAAAATACAAATATGTTGTTGGTTTGTTTTTCGAGACAGGGTTTCTCTGTGTAGCAGCTCTGGCTGTTCTGGAACTCACTTTGTAGACCAGGCTGCCTTTGAACTCACAGAAATCTATCTGCCTGCCTCTGCCTCTGCCTCCAGAGTGCTGGGATTAAAGGCATGTGCCACCACTGCCAGGCTAAATACTCTTTAATTTTGCTTTTTGGCTATTCAGTTGAAAACAAAAACAAAAACAAAAAACAAAAAACAAAAAAACAACTACCCAATATCCTGTTAGTGTAGTATGAATACTACACTATAAATGGCCAGATTTAATTTCTCTTTCTCTCTCTCAGAGTCAAAGTCTCATTATGTAACCTAGGCTGGTATCCAACTTGGATCCCTCTCCCACCAGCTTCTCAAGCACTCGATTTAAAGACATGCACCACCACATTTATTGATGTGTTTAATGATATTTCCAACTTAGTAAGCATTAAGTAGTTTGATTCTCCAAGGCTTATTTATAACTTTTTAGGGATGGATAACAACAGATTCTATGTCTATTTTAGCCCTAGAGACTCTAAGTGCCCTGAGTGTTCAACAAGAGCTCTCTTTGAATGGCTGGAATTCAAATGTTTCCAACCATACACAAACTTTCTAGCTGTGTGTAGTCTTCAGTTCAGTTCACTGTCTCTGGTGTTGACATTTTACCCAGCTTCAGCAATCTATATGCTACACACATAGATCAGTGTCATTCAGCCAATACCTCTGAGGAATTCCAAGTGTATAATTCTGGAATTCTTTTGCTTTTTGAAAATTCTGCCTGGCTATCTTAGGTAATAGCTCTGTGACAGTGTTTTATTTTTGATTTATTTCATTCTCCCCTCTCTGATAAAAGAATGGTCCACATAATTTGCTTCAAAAGGATTAAATTCCTGCATTGCCTACTGTTCAGGGTTAAAACAAACAATAACAACAACAGAAAAACCTAAAGCATACCTGTTTTACTCAGTTGTCTTAACAATCCATTGCAGAAGGGCTAGCTTATTTAAGGGGCTGATTGCTGTGGGATGTTCTGTATGTTAAATGTGTTGCTCTAATTGGTTAAGAAATAAAACACTGATTGGCCAGTAGCCAGGCCAGGAAGTATAGGCGGGACAAGGAGAGAGGAGAATTCCTCCTACCTCTGCCTCTGCTGGGATTAAAGGTACTTGCTAGCCTTTGACAGTATCTTTAAGATCCTTCTGTTTGGTGTCTCATAAAACAGTAGCCAATGTCAGCAGGGATGGCAGATATGCATAGGAAGCCTAACTGGGACTTGAGGATGCTTCTGAAGTGGGTCACTGTAGGACTACTGGCAGCCCCAGTTCCTTGCCTTACAGTCCTTTTTAATAAAGTCATAACAGCTAGCTTCCTCTAGAGTGAATAGCTCAAGTGATTGCAAGGCAGGAACCATAATACCTTTATGACCTAGTCTTAGAAGTCATATCATTTCTTCAACATCCACTGGCTACATTAACCCTGTTTAAGGGGGGGTAGGGGGGCACACAGCAAGATGGTTCAGAAAGTAAAAGCACTTAATGCTCAAGCCTGATGACATGAATTCTATCCTTAGAACCCATATAAATATAAAGAGAACCACCTCTACACAGGTGTGCCCCTATGCACATTAAGCTCATGCACAGACACAATACAAAAATTAAAACAAAGAAAACCAAACCAAATGAACAAACAAACAGACCTATACAATATAGGAAAGGACTGGTAAGGGTTGTGACTACAAGGAGTCAAGTATCACTGGTGACTATTTTGAAAGTTAATTATCTCAAAGAAACTTTCATTATATACAAATAAGGAGATGACATAAAAGAAATTTTCTCATTTACATTACAGGTCAGGCCAGTGCATTTCATAGGCTGGGAAAGGGGAATATTTAGTAAGATAATTTCTTACCAACCACCATCAGTGTGAACTCGAACCCCTTTTTCACTGATTTTCGGTGAACTTGATTGGGAAGATTTGCAAATCCAACATAGCCAGGAGTTTCTGGATTTATAAACTGAGTTGGTTGTTGCTAAAGTAAGATTTATAAATAAATATAAATAAAAAAGAGCTAATAAACATCTTATTGGTTGCTTTTATGACATTATCAGACCTGTGATAAACATAGGTAATCAACAATTCTCACAAATTAAAAAAAAATCATCAAAGAAACTCCACAAATTATTATCTTCAAAACTTATACTATTATCAGAAAACAATGTTCACTTAAGAGGATTAAAGAAAGCACAATCCGGGGGATGGCTCAGTGGTTAAGGGCACTGGCTGCTCTTCCAGAAGAACTATGTCAATTCCCAGCATCCATATGGCAGCTCACAACTGTCTCTAACTCCAGTTCCAGAGAATTCAACACCCTCATACAGATATACATATGTAGGCAAGACACATAAAATAAAATCATTAAAAAAAACACACACACAATTCAATCAAATTCCATAGGTATATGCTGACTCATAATTACTATTTTGTTAAATATTCTGCTTAGCAATTAACTATGTAAAATATATATTAATTTATCCCAGTGCAGTAAATTACAGTTTGAGATGAAGAGAATTCAGAGAACTGACTCCTTTCATTCAACATTTAGCTAAAGAACAGCAGCCTTATCAGGCATGATGGGTCTGTGAAAACATCGGGGGGAAAAAAGACATTCTTGCTATTCTTCCTTTGATGACACAGAGCTTTGTCTAGAGGAAGCAGGAAGCTAAGAGTGGAATGTTGAGAATTCAGCGTCAAAAATTATGAAACAAAAAACTAAGCCCACAGCTGACTACACTGAAATATCTATTTATTTGTTTGAGACAGGCTCACTATATATTCCTGGCTGGTCTGGAGCTTGCAACCTTCCTGCTTCAGCCTTCCAAGTACTGAGATTATAGGCATGTGCCACCGTGCATGATGGTGAAAAGACAGTTAAAAGAATTCTTGATGAAAGAATGCCTGGTAAGACTAAAGATGGTTGAAGATGTGATAAATCAAGAACAGTAAAACCACAATCTAGGAAATGAGAAGATAGTGTACTTGCCTTGCAAGTCTGAGAACCTGAATTCAATCACTAGAACCTAAATTTAAAAAAACAAAAACAACCACACAAAAAACTGGACATGGTGATAAACCTTTGGATCCCAGCCCTGGACAAGTGAAGACAGGTGAATAGTTGAAGCTCCAGGCCAGTAAGAGATCTGTCTGTCTCTCTCCCTCTCTCCCTCCTCCCTCAACCTGATACATACAAAAGAGGAGGAGGGATAAACAATCAAGCACACAAACAAAACACTGGTAAACCATGAGGAATGATACCCAAGGTTGAACTCTGGCTTCTACACACACACACACACACACACACACACACACACACACACACACACACTAATATACACACACACATTAAAGGCTCTAACACAGGGAGAGCGTGCAACCAGGACATGGCGCAGGCAAGGAACCCTAGCACCAAGCAACTTGAGCATCAGTTTCTTTACTCTGGAGAGCTGAGCAATGCCCAAAGTGGGGGTCTTCTCAAACATGGAGGAGATCCCAAAGCTGCACTCAACACACTGAAGGTGAGGACTAGAGAATGAACAAGAATACCTCTAACACACCACAAGCACATGCTTACACTTCCATCCTACTCTCATATACTAACACTCACCTAGAGCCACAGACATGCAGATTCACACGCACACAAATTCAGACCCAAACACCCCACTCCAACACACTATACTCACACACTCACATATCCTTACACACTCAGACTGTCATTCACCACAGTGGACTCCCACGTGCACACATACCACACTCCCACACATGCACACATACACAATACACTTGTATCTTCACATATACAAGTCTTACACATACCACACACCATACACACAGGTTTATACACACCTAACTCACATCATATATACAGGCTTGTACAACACACACACACACACACACACACACACACACACACACACACAAACCCAACAATTTATGCAGTGACATACTGAAAATGAAAAAATTTTAATACATTATTTGAACAAGACAAAAAAGACAAGTTATAAAATAGCCTTTCTTTGAGGATTACATTTTGTAATGATCCAGTCACATATACACACAGATAAAAATAAACCTAAAACATTCATAGTGATTACTTCTGGGTGCTAGAATAATGGCTCTTTTGTTTATCTCTGTTCCACATTATTTTATAAAAAGGAAAAACTGATGTTATGGCTTTTCTTTTCTTTTTAATATTATGTGCATTACCGTTTTGCCATGGGTTTTGGGTGCCCTGGAACTGGAGTTACAGATAGTTGTCAGCTGCCATGTGGGTGCAGGGAATTGAACCCGGGTCCTCTGGAAGAGTCGTCAGTGCTCTTAACCACTGAGCCATCTTTCCATTCCCCTGGCTTTTCACTGTATAGTAATAAACACCCATAGACTAAAAAATAAAGGGCAAAGAAAAATATCCTTGCAGCTTTAACTCCAATTCCACTTTATCAGCTTATGTCCTTTAGAACTAATTTATATCAGGGCTCTAAACCAATATAGCATGTCTAAGAGCCCTATCAACTTAATTATATGAATTATTGGAATTCTGAATTGCTGTTTTATTGGTTTTGGAAAAAAATTAAGATGGGTAAGAGGATTTATATTAACAAATTAAAAAATTTGGAAAAGAAGTTAACTCAAAACTTTAGAATAATAACCCAATATTAGAAATTTACCTATAGAAACCCTACTTTTTAACTATCTGAAAATATAAAACAATTCCTCTTTATACCATAGATACATGAAATAAGACCTTACCTTAGACATCTTTCTCGATTTTTCTGTCTGTTAAAAAAAAAAAAAGACATGTCTGAATTTGTATACACACATTTAACAGCATGAACTGACTCATGAAGATACAGACACGTGACATTAGCTTGTTTCTTTAGCCTTTTAATAACCTCAAACATTGCCCTAGAAATGATACAATCATTACTCAATATAAAAACAAAACTAGCTAAATTAATAAAAGCAACTGTATATATGGCTCTACATTTCCAAATATATATATTCCCCACCCCCAGTACTGATTACATCTTAGACATCAGGGATGAGATGGGAGAAAAAGACAACCTACTTCTCACCTCCAATTTAACTAAAGCCTTTCAAAGAGGAAAGGATACCCCCGTACCTGGAGTACTGTACCCTGAAATGTGTGCCATCTCTTACTGAAAGATCCCTAGAGTAACTTGGGAACTAAATTTTAGCACTGGGGCACAAGGTGCAATATGAAGCACATTTACAAGTAAAGAGGACAGATCAAATAGTTATGTGCCTGCCTGGTGACCTCTGAGGTCAGAAAGTGTCAATCCCCTGGAACTGAAATTATGTATGGTTTTGAGCCACCATGTAGATGCGAGGAACTAAACCCAGATCCTCTGAAAGAGCAGTAAGTGCTGTAAACCACTAAGCCCATCTCTCTAGCCTCAGAGGGCTGAATTTCTATACAATGCTTCTTTGATATTTTTAAACCTTAACATACATGAGCACTACAAACCCCAAGTTTCTCTCTCAATGTTCCAAGCACCTAGGACAAAATGAGGTTCCCACACCCATTGTATTTGGGCAGGTTAATTAAGGTAGGCATGCAAAAGAATTCATGGGCCTTTAATTCAGTATTATTATGTTTCATGGGAAACCTAGGTTATAGTCTTGGTTCTCCTTTTCCAGTGACTTCTATAAGCCTTACTGTTGAAAAATTCGGGAAAGCTACGTTATTACAAGAATTTTCAAAGTGTCAGGGTGAGGGAGAACACGTAGAGGCAAAGAAAACAGTCAATAAAATTTTCCTGTCAAAAACAAAAACAAATGTCTGTACATTAATCAGCTCTCTGGAACTATGAATAGAGAGTAAATTATGGCCCTTGGATAGAAATGACATCCTTGAAAAATGCTATTAATAGAACTAAAAAATATTAATCTCAGCAAAATTGAAAAGTTAGGAGCAGGAGTAAAATTAGAGAAGTAAAACTTTCTAAAGGAGACATAAATGAATCAGAGGGAATATAGTTTGTCAGGAGCTGTGCCCTAACTGCAAAGAACAGTCTGGCCAGGAAATAAATGGAAAAGTAAATAAATACTAATGGGAAAAAAGGGAGGATTTCCAAATCAATAGAAAAATATAAAACTATATGTGCTGGTCTATCCCTGTAACTCCAACACGAGGAAAACTGAGGCAAGAGAACAGTGAATTCAAGGCTAGTCCTGGATATTTGTCTTGGTATGTAGGTTGTTATTTTTTTTTTCCTTCTTTCCCTCCTATTATGTATCCTTTGCTGTGTATATCTCTCTGTATAAATAAAATGCTGACTGGCCAGTAGCCAGGCAGGAAGTATAGGCGAGACAAACAGAGAAGAGAATTCTGGGAACAGGAAGGCTGAGTCAGGAGACACCAGCCTGCCACCCAGGGAGCAGCATGTAAAGACAACAGGTAAAGCCACAGAACATGTGGCGACAAATAGATTAATAGAAATTTTAAGTGTAATAGCTAGTCAGTAGTTAGCCTGAGCTAATGGCCCAGCAGTTTAATTAATATAAGTTTCTGAGTGATTATTTTATAACTGGTTGTGGGGGTCCGCAGGGGCTTGGTGGGACCGGAGAGAACCTCTCCCGCTACAATCCTTTGCTGGCCTCAAACTTACAGGGATCCAACTCCCTCTGTCTCTGAGTTCTGGAATTAAAAGTGTGAGCCACAACACCCGGCCAATATGTCTTAAGTCTTAAAAAAAATATTAACAATCAAAGTAACCAATAGCAACCTAATCAAATCAACAGAACATAGGGAAAAAGAAGAAACTATGAATAACGATCTTACATCAAGACAGAAAAGATGAAATTTAGAAAAATAAGCATTGAAAAACAGATATCCTCCTTAAAAGACAGATTGAATTAAAGCAAATAGACCAGGCTGCAATAATTTGATTATACTGCATATGGAGATTTTTGGTAGAGTGAGAAAGGCTGAAAACTAAGAGTCAAGTGAAGAAATACCATGCCAGTGCCAACATAGGCAAATGGGCAGTTGTTTAAGTCCTAGAAGAGTATTATCTGACAAGAGGAAATGTTAACAATATACTTCTATAGGAAACATAACAGTATATACAGTTTAATACCATTTGTATGGAAAGAAAAAGTTGTATGCATAAAATCATGCATAAAATATAAGAAATGTACACACCCCATATGTTTATGGTTATCTCTTTTTTTGTTGTTTTGTTTTTCGAGACAAAGTTTCTCTGTGTAGCTCTAGCTGTTCTGGAATTCATTTTTGTAGACCAGGCTGGCCTTGAACTTGCAGAGATCTGCCTGCCTCTGCCTCCTGAGTGCTGGGATTAAAGGTATGCGCCGCTGCCACCATCCAGTTATATCTTATAGTGGAATTGGATGTGATTACAATTTCACCAATATAGTTCACCTGTCCTGAAGTATATTGTTCTTCTGCAATTAGTCTGAAATAATTTTCTTCCCACAGCCTGCCTCATGGGTCACAAAACATCTCCTTCATGAAGCTACTGCTGTTCCCATTAAAAAGTAGATGCTACTTGCTTTTATATACTGGCATATGGAGAACATTTTTAACTAATATAAAAAATGCCACAGCAGACACCTGGCAGTAGAAAGTTATATGGAGAACTGGAAATTTTCTACATATGATTTTCACTTTTTTTAACAGAGGAAAAAAAATGTTATCATTAGCTGTTTCACATTCATGGTGTAGTTTGAAATATGTAATTCAGGAATTAGAATTGAAAATTTTGGTATCTCTTCTCCTACCAGCAAATGACCGCAGTGAAAATTAAGGATTGTTTCCATAAAATATGGCTATTAATCTTATAAAAATAAATTAACAATTTTAAGTGAAGGAAAACAAGATCAGCGATATTAAAATGTTTTGTCTTCTGTAAAGAGTCAAAACAAATGTTAGACAAAACATCAAAAAAGAAATTCAAATGTATTGTAGCAGGAAAATTACCCCCCCAGCATCAAATTCTTGCTCTTTTTATCAACTTCCATGGATCAGAAATGTCAAGTTTATGAGTCATTTTGATTCTAATAAATGACATCTAAAGTCTTTAACAGTTAATACACAGAATATATTTAGGATTTTATGAAAACAGAGTTGTTCCAAATATAGATGTATAGGTCATCCTACAACTTGATAACTTACATTAAATAATGTTGAAAGTAAGATTTTCTGTCTCAGAAATCACTCTACTGTAAAGATAGGTTTAAAAAGTAAAGGTCACTAGCTTCTAATTTAAAATACTAAGCGAGGATGTGGATCTTTCAAGGTTAAAAATGAGAAAAACATCTGCCCAACTTCAGATACTTTCCATGCTCTTGTACCTCCCCAAAACTGCCTTCCTAACTTCTGCTCCTTCCCATGGGAGCAAAACCCAGACAAGTCTGTGCTCAGCTCATCAGTATAGTAAATCATATCTGAAAGGGAACAGTGCATGACTTACCCCCATCTCAAAAAGGGCAATTTTCTGCCTTTGCCCTTTCATACAGTTCACTCCAGCCTTTTTTCACTTTCTTCTTTCCCAAACTCCTAGATGACTAGAGTGAACTTGTGAAGTTCTCCACTAGTATATTTCTAACAGTTGTTGATGTTGAAATGATCTGATCTTAGCAGAATCCCTCCACACAGTGGGATACTACCACTGCAGCATTCCTCCCATTCAAAATCTCCATCATTCTTGGTCCTGCAGGACGGTCTGTTTATTCTTACAGTATAGCTAGGCATAGATATTGTAGGTGAACACTGACCATTTTCTTAGTCTCAAAGAAATTGACAAGAACCATTTTTACTCATTTAGGACAAAGTACTGTGGCCAAGTATACCGTAAAAGTACTTCTTCCTTTTGTAATAGGAACAATATGATCAACTGTAAGTAATTTTTCTATTTATGGTTCATTTTCGCTGATATTGAAATCCAATGCTTTACCTGGATTTTCTAGCTGATATTCTAAAATGAGATCATCTATGTAGTCAACATCTTCAGTTTTTTCCCCCTTTATATCTGAGTCTGGTTCTGTTATCTGAAATTACAGCATTAGAATTTCTTTTCTTTTCTCCACCCACAGGTAAAGAAATCTTTCACCAATATTCTGTCATTTCCTTTTAATTAAATATTTTGGGAGGAAAAGAAACTTGGCCTTGATCACAGGACATAAAAGGGAAACTCTCAACTGTACCAAATGGGGTAGACACATATACTTTTCCTCGAGGCTGTTTGATAATGGTGCACATTTTGCCCTTTCAGCAAGGAGCATTCAACCAATAAATAGGTAGCTGTGCCTGAATATTTACTTGGTAACATCACCTGCAAGCAAAGTGTCTATTTGGGGTCATCTACATTATCAATGATGCTAACACAAAATATTATGGCACAGCCATTAATGACACACCATTCCTTGCCATAAATGGTTGCCACTTCTTCAATTTCCTCATTAGTTCCAGAGGAATAGGAGTCCATCACCATCATGATGGGGAAGCATGGCAACAGGTAGACAGGCACAGCACTGGGGCAGCAGCTGAAAACTCAAATCCCTACATACCTTGACACTGTTAATACCAAGCAAGTGGAATTCAAGGCAAAAGAATAAAACAGCGCCAGGTGGCTGTGGCACATGCCTTTAATCCCAGCACTTGAAGGCAGAGCCGGTGGATCTCTGTGAGTTCGAGGCCAGCCTGGTCTACAGAGCGAGATCCAAGACAGGCACCAAAACTACATGGAGAAACCCTGTCGGAGGAGGGAATGGGGAGAACAGCAACAAAAGCA